GATTACAAGATGATGTCACTTCAAACATACACTGATAATGACTTCCATGAGATCATGGAGGCCTGGAACTTGGAGCACAAAGATTGTTTTAAACTGTGTTGTGAATAAGTTGTGACTGTTCAAGTATCTGTGTTTACAAATGTGAGAAAATCACAGGAACATCATGTCATGGCACACTTCAAGTTTATTTATGTAAGGGTTTATTCTTACACTTATAACAAGGTTATAAGAGTAATTTAATTAGCAAGGATCTCTTTTATTTTGGATAAACATTTCTTTAGTGCGAAAATGAATGGACACAAAAAGTAACTCTCAGTCAGTGAATGTTGATTTGAACCATAAATCTGCGATCATTTAATTTACAAATCATACAGAATCACTAGAGTACACCTGATTGTGAATAATTAATTTCCTATAAAAAGTTTTGGGACCAACAATAACAAGCTCTTAACTTCTTAATTGTTGACCACACTTAAATAGAAACACAAACGTCAGCTTAGATGTTAAACACCAGACATTTGAGGCTGTTTATCTTAGGAGTTGGCAGGGGCAAGGTTAAGAAAAAGGTTGAAGAAAGGTGTTAGTTTTAAACTCTTTATCTTAAATAATGTGGGTTTAACCAGAAGGGCGAAGCCTTTGAGAGGTTAAGGCGACCTGAGGTGGCCTAGATTCAGTTCTAAATGGAACAGAGTTCTTGTCCCTTCGAAGGCCCATCAGAGGACTGAGAGTCCAAGACAGTTTCCCTGATAATTTAACTCGAGGTGACCCCTAAAGCCCATTGTTTAGTATTGCACAATGTTTAGTATTTCACATTGTTTAATATGGCACATTGTTTAAATATTGCACATTCTGTATATTGAAGTATATGGATTATGCTGGTATTGCAGGTGATCATTACAAAATAAAGTGACATGTGTCCCACAGATGTATTTATTTCACAGTAGGTGAGTTCCTCATTGATTGTAAATCAAGAAGTCAGTGTATGTGAGAGTTCAGTAAGGTTTCAGGAAAAAACTGTTCTTGAATTTGTTCTTGTTCTGGTGCACCTGTAGCTCTTTTCCTGAGGGCAACAAGTCAAACAGCTCAGAGCCTGGGTGGCAGCTGTGCTTTGTGATCTGCTCAGCTCTACTGAGGCAGCGTGATGAGTAAATGTCTGTGAGGGAGGGGAGAGGACAGCCAATGATCTTCTGAGCTGTCTTTATTCTCTGGAGCCTCTCCCTGTTTATGGAAGCTATTCTGTAAAAATATTCTAATTAACACAGACTTTGTCTCTCATGGGGACATTCCATTGACTTCCATTCATTTACTGGTAATTTCTACAGCCTAACCCTGACCGCTTACCCTAAAACTATCCGCTCCAGGTCCTATCTGACCCTAAAACTATCCACTCCAGGACCTACCTGACCCTAAAACTATCCACTCCAGGACCTATCTGACCCTAAAACTAACCACTCCAGGTCCTACATGACCCTAAAACTAACCACTCCAGGTCCTATATGACCCTAAAACTAACCACTCCAGGACCTGTCTGACCCTAAAACTAACCACTCCAGGACCTATCTGACCCTAAAACTATCCACTCCAGGACCTACCTGACCCTAAAACTAACCACTCCAGGTCCTACATGACCCTAAAACTAACCACTCCAGGTCCTATATGACCCTAAAACTAACCACTCCAGGACCTACATGACCCTAAAACTATCCACTCCAGGTCCTACATGACCCTAAAATTGTCCACTCCAGGTCCTACATGACCCTAAAACTATCCACTCCAGGACCTACCTGACCCTAAAACTAACCACTCCAGGACCTACATGACCCTAAAACTAACCACTCCAGGACCTACCTGACCCTAAAACTATCCACTCCAGGACCTACCTAACCCTAAAACTAACCACTCCAGGACCTACTTGACCCTAAAGCTAACCACTCCAGGTCCTACATGACCCTAAAACTATCCACTCCAGGACCTACCTGACCCTAAAACTATCCACTCCAGGACCTACATGACCCTAAAGCTAACCACTCCAGGTCCTACATGACCCTAAAACTATCCACTCCAGGACCTACCTGACCCTAAAACTATCCACTCCAGGTCCTACATGACCCTAAAACTATCCACTCCAGGACCTACCTGACCCTAAAACTATCCACTCCAGGTCCTACATGACCCTAAAACTATCCACTC